GTTATGGATCTGGCCAGGCCCCCGTGTGCGCGAGTGCAGGGGCGAGCGGGGCGTCGGCTCCTCGAATGGCGCCTCGGGCCGCCACGGCGCCTCGCTATGCGAAGTGCTGTTTCGCGTCGCAAAGTGGTCGGCGCACGGCAGCAGCAGCGGCAACGAGAAGGCGAAGAATGTCGTGAGCAGCGTCACGGCGAGCACCTCGCAGACCCGCCGCCTGAGAAGGGGGAGGGGGGCGACAAGAGGCCTGTCCGTGCGCCGGCGCAGGGGCAGCCCTCGCGTCTCCACGGCGCTCAAGGTGCGTGGCCCACGCGCGCGGGGGAGCAGCCACCTCGCGGTCACGACAGCGCGCAGCCGCCAGACAGTGAGGCGCCTGGAAGACAAACCCCTCTCTCTCTCTCTCTCTCTCTCTGAGCCCCTCCCGTCGCCGGCTCAGAGCCGCCGGCGGGGCGGGTGTGGGGGGGAAGGGGGAGGGAGGGCGCCGCGAGAGAGAGACGAAGGCCGCGCCGACCAGCCCGCCCGCGACGCCGAGGCCGACGAAGATGGGCAGCTCGCGCAGGTCCCAGTCCGAGTCGGAGGGGAGGAAGGCGCCTGCGGACGCGGCTTCGAGGACGCTCAAGGACGGGGACCGGAAGAGAGTCACTGCTTTGGAGCGGAGGCGGGGCGCCGAAGGTGATGAGGCCGGGGTGGGAGAGGGCGCCGAAGTGGTCCGTCCGGCGCGAGGAGAGGAGGATGTTGAGCGTGAAGGTCGAGCAGAGCGCGCAGAAGAAGGTTCGCCTGCAGCACACAACTCAACTGATTGATTCATCAATCAATTAATCAATGAAGAAGGTTCGCCTCCGGCACACAAGAGGCACTCTAGACACCCCGAGGCCGAACTGCAGAGCGCGGGCGGGAGGCGTGCGGGAGAAGGCGCGCCAAGTGAGCGGCTGCGACCAGTACGTGGCCGCCTCCTCCATCGCGAAGAGCGTCCCCCCGATCGGAGCCCCTAGGCCACCAAACGCATGCACAGATGGTGTGGATGAGCCGTGCTCGTGCCTCCGCCCCTCTGTTTGGAGCGCCGAACGCGGCTGCGACGCCGGCGGCGGCTCCGGCCGAGACGAAGTCGCGCTTGTCGTGGTCGTTGCGGAAGGACTTGAGCCACATCGTGCGCACCTGGGAGGGGGGGGGGGGGGGGTTCCGGCAGGGCTGAGGCGCGGCTCAGGCCGTCACGGAAGGCGACGTGAGCCGCGCGCACGTTGAGGCTCTTTGAGGACCCCTGCGAGACTCCGGCGGCGATGATGGCGCCGATGTGGATCATCGGGCCCTCCTTGCCGACGACGAGCCCGCTCGCCACCGCGCACAGCACGCCCACCGACTTTGCGAGCAGCGCGTCGAAGCGCAGCATCCGCGGCACCTTGACGCCCTGAAGGTACGCCTTGACCTCCGGGATGCCGGAGCCGCCCGCGACGGGAGAGACGCAGACGACGAGGCCGACGGCGACCGAGACGAAGAGCAGGTTGATCGCGCTCATCGTCGCCAGCCCGGCCACCCACGCGGCCGCCGAGCTCCCCGAGCCCCTCAGCGCGAGCGTCATCGCGTGCGCCGCGACCGAGAACTTGACGTCGAAGAGCTGCTCGCAGATGCAGTCGATGGCAAAGGCGAGGACGCCGGTGCCGCAGCCGACGGCGCCGCAGATGAGCCACCGGTACAGGTTGAGCCGCCGCCGGTACTCGAGCGGCTGCCGCAGTAGCTCCTGGTGGAAGAGCGTCGACTCGTCGATGTCGTAGTCGAGCGCCTGGATGTCCTCGCGCACGCTGCCCGCGCCGCCGCCCGCCTCGTGCATGTGGCTGACCGAGCCGAAGCGCGGCCGGCGGGAGGTGCGGCGGCTCATGGCGGAGACTCGCAGGTCGCTCGCGAATGGCGGTGCCGAGAGCGGCCGGCTTCGTAAACGAGAATTCGATCAGCCGAGCGCTAGCCTGACGAGGAGGAAGTGACAAGGGAGAGAACGACGAGAGTGGGACAGCCGCGAGGTGGCATGAAGGTTGCAGCGAGAAGCGGCGAGAGACTGCGAAAAGAGATACGAGGAGGCAGACCCCCCAGGGTGGGCGACGGCTAGCGCATCACACCCTCCTCTCCTTAAAATCCCTGTGTGGTGGCGGCGTGCCGTTCTCCCATCCCTCCCTTGGGTTGTGTGTTTTCTTTCTTTCTTTCTTTCTGTTTAAAATCCCTGTGTGGTGGCGGCGTGCCGTCCTCCCATCCCTCCCTTGGCTTGTCCGTTTTCTTTCTTTCTTTTCTTTGACTGATTAAAATCCCTGTGTGGTGGCGGCGTGCCGTCCTCCCATCCCTCCCTTGGCTTGTCCGTTTTCTTTCTTTCTTTTCTTTGACTGTTTAAAATCCCTGTGTGGTGGCGGCGTGCCGTCCTCCCATCCCTCCCTTGGCTTGTCCGTTTTCTTTCTTTCTTTTCTTTGACTGTTTAAAATCCCTGTGTGGTGGCGGCGTGCCGTCCTCCCATCCCTCCCTTGCGCTGTCCGTTTTCTTTCTTTCTTTTCTTTGACTGATTAAAATCCCTGTGTGGTGGCGGCGTGCCGTCCTCCCATCCCTCCCTTGCGTTGTCCGTTTTCTTTCTTTCTTTTCTTTGACTGTTTAAAATCCCTGTGTGGTGGCGGCGTGCCGTCCTCCCATCCCTCCCTTGCGTTGTCCGTTTTCTTTCTTTCTTTTCTTTGACTGATTAAAATCCCTGTGTGGTGGCGGCGTGCCGTCCTCCCATCCCTCCCTTGGGCTGTCTGTTTTCTTTCTTTGACTGTTGTTCATCTTTCTACATACATACAGCACTAAAAGAATTTGACGGAGAATCGCAGCACATAATTTTAAACTCGCACGACACTGGGCACGGGACTGGCGCGCACTGTCACTCGTAAAAGATTTGCGCGCCGCGCACCCTGTCTGCACGTCTCGCGCGCGCGTGAACAGGGCTGTCCCCCCCCGCAAACTTTAAACCTCCATAAACATCATTTTGCTAGGGCTCCAGGCCCAAAATGACGTGTGAGTGTTAGAGTTGTTTGGTATTGCTAAAAATCTCTCTCTCTCGCACGCACAAACAACAAAACAAAACAAGCGCACAACACTGCACTGGGAATCCCTGAGGAGAGCGAGAGAGCGACGCGACAGAGCTCAGAGGAGGAAGCGACAGGAGGGAGAACGACGACGAGAGTGGGACGACCGCGAGGTGGCATGAAGGTTGCAGCGAGAATCGGCGAGGGACTGCGAAGGGAGATAGAAAGAGGCAGACGCCCAAGGGCCTTGCCACAAGGGTTAGGGTGGGCGACGGCTAGCACCACACTCGTCACTCCTAATCTCCTTAAAATCCAACCCTTTTCCTGGCTCACAAGCTAACGATGTTCACGGGCCCCCACAGGGAGGGCCCTTGCGTAAACCCGGGCAAAGCACTGGCATTTCCTTTCGTAACGCGTTCGGCCCGCAGTCTCGCTCGGCGCGCGCTCCTCTGCGCCCACCTAAATTCCTGAGTCGCTGCACCCCGCCAGAGCACCCACCCCCTGGCCGCCACGCGCAGGAGCGGCTACACAAGTCCACACTCGAGTCGCACGGTCCGCCTCGCTTGAACGGCTGCTTCCACAGGAGGTGCAAAAGCCGCAAGGGGAGCCCCGGGTACTCTTTAGCTGTACTCGTCTATAGGCAGGGGTTGCTTAAAATCCCTGTGTGGTGGCGGCGTGCCGTCCTCCCATCCCTCCCACTTGGGCTGTCTGTTTTCTTTCTTTCTTTCTGGGAATCCCTGTGTGGTGGCGGCGTGCCGTCCTCCCATCCCTCTCTTGAGTTGTCCGTCTTCTTGCTTTCTTTCTTTCTGGGCACGGGGACTGGCGCACTGGCACTAACACAGGTACACAACTTTTTACACTTGGACCAACACGACTAAAAATCTCTCTCCAACACGAGAGGTCCTGCAAAATGTAAGAGAGAGTTGGTTTTCAACTCTCTCTCTCTCTCTCTCTCTCTCTCTCTCTCTCTCTCTCTCTCTCTCTCTCTCTCTCTCTCTCTCTCTCAAAAATCCTGCCTGCCGTCTGTTGCCGCCTTACCGCCTTACCGCCGACCCTTACCGTGCCGCGCCGCCTTTACACACACACCTGACTCTTGCTCGACGACCGAGTTTGCGTTGAGGAGCGAACCGAGCCGCCGGTGTGTCCCGCAGCGGCCTCGCTGGGCCAGAATATCGGCTCGCGAGTGCTCCGCGGCAGCCTCCCTGGGCCAGAACATCGGCCCGCGAGGTGGGTGCTAGCATGAGCCCGATGGCGATGCGTCGCAGTGCTCTTGCGTTTCTTCGGTAGTTAGTGATCTAATCACCCGAATGCCACGTTCGGATCGCTTCTCATCGCAAAAAAACTCTCTCTCGCAAACCCCGTCAGCAGTGGTGCTCCTCTGGGAATGTACCTAAATTTGATCCGCGGCATTTCTGTAAGAAAGAAAACAGAGACACTGAAGAAATTCTTTTCCGAACACCCTGCGCTTTTTGAGCGTGTGTTATGTCGGCCAATGCGTCGGCCTCGGCCTCGGAGCAGCAGCAGCATCCGCCGCGCCGCCGCCAGCGCTTCTCCGGCGGCGGTCCGAACGCGGATGGCGAGATGGTGTCGACGCGTCGCTCCGAGTGCGTCCAGGTCGCGCTCGTCGTGCGTCCGCTGCTGCCGCACGAGCCACGCGGCTCCGAGTGCCTGCACCAGCCGCAGCCGGAGAAGCCCGAGGTGGTGCTCGACTGCGCGCCGTTTCCCTTCGCCTTCGACCACGTGGGCGGCCCCGAAGGTGGCATCTCGTCCGTCTATGACGCGTGCGTCGCACCGACGCTGCTCCCGAACGTGCTGCGGGGCTGCAACGCGACGGTGCTCGCGTACGGGCAGACCGGCTCTGGGAAGACGCACACGATGGGATCGGGCGCGGGCGCGCGCCGCGTGCCCGGCCTCATCCAGATGTCGGTCGAGCAGATCTTTGAGCGGCTGCCGCCCGGCGCCGCTGCGCGCGCGAGCTTTGTTCAAATCTACGAGGACGCGGTGCACGACCTGCTGGCGCCGGCGGCGGCGGACGGCGAGCTGCCCCGGCTGCACCTCAAGCGGGACGGCGCGGGCTGGGGCCTCCCCGCCGCGCGCCGCGAGCTCGTCGAGTCCGCCGCCGACGTGACGGCGCTGCTCGCCCGCGGCGCCGCGGCGCGCGCCACCAGTAGCACGCGGCTCAACGAGCACTCGTCGCGGTCGCACGCGGTGCTCTCGGTGGAGCTGAGGCTGGCGGACCCGAAGAGCGAGGGCGCCTCCGGCCAGCTCCGGCCCAAGCTCACCTTCGTCGACCTCGCCGGCTCGGAGCGCACCAAGCGCGCCGGCACCGAGGGCAAGGTGCAGCACGAGGGCATCCAAATCAACCTGTCGCTCTTCCACCTCAACCACGTGATCCACGCGCTGGGCTCGCGCGCGGCGCACGTGCCGTACAACGGCTCCTCCCTCACCAAGGTCCTCGCCGACCGCCTCGGAGGCGCCGCCCAGACCCGCGTGCCCGCGGTGCCGCCGCCTCTCAATTCTTCATCAAGTATGACTGAGTGTTGACAGGCGCCACGCAGACGCTCATGCTCGCCTGCGCCTCGCCGGCCGAGCCGAATGCGCTCGAGACGCTCTCGACGCTCTACACCGTCTCGCGCGCGCGGACCATCGTCTCCAAGCCGCGGGTGGCGCGCCAGCCGGGGAGCGAGCGGCTCTCGGCAGAAGAGGCGGCGCGCCAGGCCGACGAGGAGCGGGCGAGGGAGGAGGAGCTCCGCGCGAGGGAGAGGGAGCAGCTCGTCACGCACAACCGCGAGCTGGTGCCCTCCCGAAAGGCCTTCCTGGCCCCACCCCTCCCTGGCCCTTGGCCCCACCCTTTGCACCAGGCCCTTTTTCCCTCCCTCCCTCCCTCCCTTTTTCCTCCCCCTCCCCCCCCCCTCCCTCTCTCCCTCTTTCCCTCCCTTTTTCCGCCGGCGCCCTCCCCTCCCCTCAACTCGTCCTGCTACCAGCCTGCCACCCCGCCCCACCGGTCCCACCACCCCGCCACCCACCACCCCGCCACCCACATCCCGCCACCCCCCCCCCCCCACACACACACACACCCACCTCGCAGGCCGCCGCACTCGACGCGTCGGAGCGGCTGCGGAGCGACGCGGTGCGGAGAGCACTCTGCGCACGGACCGCCGCCGCCGCGTGCAGTGCGGTCGTCACGCGTGCCGCCGCCGAGCAGCGCACCGCCGCCGAGGCCGTCCTCGCCGAGTGGGCGGACAAGGCGCAGGCCCGCGCGTGGGCGGCCGAGGCGGACGCGGCGGCCTCCGCCATCGAGGTGCGCAGGCTAGAGGCGGCCTTGAGCGAGGCGCTGCAGCGGGCGGAGGCGGCGGAAGGCCGCGCCGCGGCGGCAGAGGAGCGAGCCGCCGCCGCCGCTGAGCGAGCTGCCGCAGAGGCGGAGGCGGGGGGGGCGGGCCGGGCCGACGAGGCCGCGCCAGGAAAGGTGTGCGCTGAGCCGGCGACGGCGGAGGAGGAGTCGGCGCAGCGGCTCAAGCGGCGGCGCGGCGCAAAGGGGGCGGGCCGGGCGCAGGCGCACGACGAGCGCGACTACGACCCGGTCGACCAGTCGGGAGGCGCCCGCAGCCACGACTTTGGCGTGTCGCGTCCATGGCCTGTCCATGCCATGTCCGAGACACGTCCCATAGGCGCCCGCACGCACGACTTTGGCGCGTCGCGCGTCGACCGCTTCGAGGGCCATGGCGCGCCGCCCTCCCCCCTTCCTCCACAGCCCCACCCTCCTCCGCGCGCGCGCCGCGCCCTCCTCCACTCGCCTGGGGCGGGTCACCCGAACACCTCCGGCCCACGCGCAGGCTCCTTTTACCCAAAGCCAATCTCGCTCGACCCGCGGCTGCACGCGCCGATTGTGCCGCAGCCATCGCGCGAAAGCTCGCGCGTGCTCACGCCTGTCGACACGAACCGCGCAGCCGCCACCCCGTCGAAGCGTTCGACGAGGGCGAGTGCGCGCAGCCGCGCGGCCGCTTGAACGGGCGCGCGGCGAGGCGAGGCGGGCGTTTTGGTGCTGCGAGGGCGGCCAGACCCTCATGCCTCAAGACAGACCGGACCGTGTGCGTGGCAGATCTCAGACCCCCGTGTGAACGCATGAACAGATGACGAATCGATGAGCATGTAATTGTGCCTGTCCGGCCTGTGACGGGTGACTGCCGTGTTGCAGCATGTGTGGCGCCCGGTATTACACGTATTTTTACAAATACATCTACATTCGGAATCGTCCTGTGTCTCCTGATGCGCGGACAGCGGAGAGGGCAGTCCTGACGCAAACTTGGTCCCTTATGGTGCTTCAGCCTGGAGACTTCAACCCGTTCCTGCCTGCCGACTGGCAGATCCGCGACGACTTGGACTTCTTCAGCACCGTCAATCCAAACACGAGTACAGCGCTACGCAATGGGGTGTGTTTGCTTACACCAACAACAACAATCATACACACACACACACACACACAACAACACAACACACACACACACACACACACACACACACACACACACACACACACACACACACACACACAAACTGCACGCCTGGCTGGATCCCCGCGCGCGACGCCTGTTGCTCACGGAACCCGCCGCGCCCACACCGCTCTCCTGCCCCGTTCACACTCACCCTGCGATGCGCATCGCCGAGACCTCGAGAGAGTAGTGCCGAAGGCGCTCTTTTTGATTGAGAACTGTGCCCATAGGATTGCCATCTCGCTGGCCTCTCTCCGCAAGGCCCCCCTCGACCGCGTCGAACTCCGATCGGCGCGCGCTCTGCGATGGCCGTGTGAAGAGCTGAGGGAGGGTGTAGAGGATGTAGAGTGTAGAGCGCTGTAGAGCTGTAGAGATGTAGAGCGCTGTAGAGCTGTAGAGCTCTACATCCGCCGCGGGACGAAGCGGGTGCGTTGTAGAGCGATGTAGAGCGCGATTTTGCTGTAGAGTTTGTTGTAGAGGCTCTACAGCCAAACCGCCGGGAAGGCAGTGACTCAAAGAGGTCGAGTCGCACTAATGGGGTGTCTCCGAGCTTACTGGAGCTCTGATGGACAGCCCTGACTATCCCTGACACACAGAGAGTCCCTCTGACGGCACACAATACCCTATGACTGCGTCATGACCAGCCTGCCATGTGTCGCCGGTGCCGCATTCGTCGCTGTGCTTCTTTAGCATGACACACAGTCACTCCGACGGCACACAACACCCTATAACTGCGTCATGACTAGCCTGCCATGCGTCGCCGGTGCCGCATTCATCGCTGTGCTTCTTTAGCAGGCGGTGGACTGTCGGCTGCGAGGGCGGTCGCATTTGCGCGAGGCGGGGCGAGCATTCAGACGCGTTGCATGCGCCATGACTCGCGCCAGCGTGTGCGGGAGCTCCTGGCTGAGCGTTGAGTCCAGGCGAGTTGCGCTGGCTACGATCGCTACGCCGAGCCGAGCTGACGCGCCGAGGCGCCGGCCAGTCGTAGCCGTGAGGCATGCCACAGCAGCAGAGGCACCTCCCACCCATTGGGCGGGCAGACAGAAGGCCAGGGCAGCACTGGCAAGTGCAACGCGCCTCATGTCGGAGAGCGACCGTGCCTCGTTCGCCGCTTATGATGTAGAGTTTGTTGTAGAGAATTCACGTTGTAGAGAGCCTCTACATCGCTCTACAACGCACCCGCTTCGTCCCGCGGCGGATGTAGAGCTCTACAGCTCTACAGCACTCCGGAGCGCTCTACATCTCTACAGCTCTACAGCGCTCTACACTCTACATCCTCTACACCCTCCCTCAGGCTGTTGTGGCGGCTCGAGCGGCAAGGCGTGCCGCTCTGCTGCGCCGTCGACAGCCCCTCTTCCGAGCCGGCGCGTGGCCCTCATCAAGAGAAACACAGCCCTCCATCCGGCGACAACTTTGATCAACGGGGTGGACTTCTTGTCGCCAAGCACGCCGGCGGCGGCCACTCGCGCTTCATGTGAGCCTCGCCTTCCCTGCCGTCCCCCGCCCCCTTGCCAAGCCCTCCTTGAATCCTGCCTCACACATTCGAGCCTCGTTCGCTTCCAGGCGCTGCTCACCAAGGACCTCAACGTCTAGTCGTGTGGGTGGTGCCGGCCATGCCGCGCCGCCCACACGACCACACCCAGACTGACGACTCCACACGACTGCCTATATGGTTAGCCGTGGCCGTGGGCGGGGCCGGGGGAACCTTTGTAGGGTTGAAAACATTTATCGCCGGAGCGGCCCTGATAATTTGCGTACAAGCCTGAACAACACCTCGGTCTGCTAATGAGCCGCCAGCCCCTTCGCGTCCACTCCACCACTGTCCCGTGGGTACCTGTCCCCGATCCACGAAGCGCGATCCCTCCGAAGCAGCTCAAAGTGGACATGTCAGTGGAGGCGCGCCAGCTGCTCAATGACACGCGAGAGCTGTTCGGCGGTCATGTCGAGCCCAGCGACGACCTAGGCGCGGTGAGGTGAGGTCAACTCTCCAAACACAAGCGGAGAGGGCCAGGCTAGCCCTCTCGCAGCTGCACATCTGAAGACAGGAGACCCACAGCTTTGAAAGTGCAAGGCCCGGTGTGCGTGAGCAAGCGAGCGAGGCGAGTGTGTGCGTGCGAGTGTGTGTGTGTGTGGGGGGGGGGGGGGGGGGTGCCTCTCTTTTGTGCCTGGTGTGTGCCTGGCCCGACCTCCTCCTTCTTGCGCGGCGGCCAGTCGAGGAAGGCCTCCATCAGGTCCCCCTCCATGAAGCCGTGCCCGTCGGCGGTCTTCCGGTCGTTGACCAAGGAGCCCCCCCACCCGTGAGAGAGCCCCCCCCCCCCCTTGACCACCCGGGAGAGCGCCCTCTGCCCCTGCCCGGACGTGTCGTCCACGTGAAGCCCCGAGAGAACAAATGCCCCCTCCCCCCTCACTGCACACTGGCATCAGCCGTTATAGCGGCGGAGCAACCCCCCGTCTCGCTCGATGCCGACAAACTCGAGCATCAGCTTGTCTGCGCCCGGCTTCAACGCTGCCCCCTCGAGCACGCCGTCGCCGCCCGCCTCCCACGCTGCCCGCCGCGATGCGCGCGCCTTGGCCGCCGGCTCCTCTGCGACGCCCCACAGCTGCACGCGCTCCGCCACAAAGTCGACGCCGCTCGCGAGCCGCGACGTGTCTCCGTACGTGCGCGAGGGAAGGCACCGGCCGACGGAGAGGTCGGGCGATAGGC